GCTCTCTCATAACCCTCCAGCACAGGATGGCCTGCGCGGTAGTTCAAAAGCCAAGCCCGCCCCCGCCCCAATCCTCTGGTGATCAAGCCAGAACCGGGAACGTGCATTTCACGCAGCAGCTGCAGCGGCGCCAAGACCGGCGGTTCCAGGGGCAGGCAGTGTTTCGTCTACAGCTGCTCCCCCTCTCTGCTCCCTGGCCTCTGTCCGGGGCAGCTGGAGAAGGAGGATCATGGCGGGCAAGGAGGCTGGCACGGGAATGGGCAGCCTGCCAAGAAGCTCCGCAGACAGATCCTTCTCTCGGGCTCCCAAGTGTCTCCAGGGCCTGGCCTCCGTCCCGCAGCATGGGATGTCCACGGTTTGGGCAGACCTTCAGCTCTCTGAACACCTCCCAGGGCCATGAGGGCTGAGCCGGTGGACGTGCCCTGGCTGTGCCAGGCGGCTCCCGATCCTCTCAGAGGCAGCTGCTTCCCCCACTTCGGGCCCTGTGGGTGGTCCCCCAGCGCGGCCCCACACCTACCCAGAAAAGCAGGGTGGCGGCGAAGAACTGGAGCATGCCATAGAGGGTCAGATACTTGAAGACGGCGAAGGAGGCCACCAGAGCGGCCCGGCCCTCCCTGTGTCGGGGAGAGGAGAGCAGAGGGAGTTGCGTGAAGGAAAGCAGCAATCTCCCTCCCTGCTCAGCTCCCCAGGCAGGCATCGCCCAGAGACGGGAGGACCATACTCGCGGAGCCCCTCTCAGGGTGCTCCCACCCGGGAAAGGAGGGGGGAAGGGGCGGGAAGAGTGGCCCGTCTGCAAGCCGGCTGTAGAGGAACAGCCCCCCAGGCCCCCCCCCCCCATACCTTATCAGTGCTGGCACACACTCGATGTTGGGAATCTGGGAAGTGAAGGGGGAGGCCACCGAGGCCTCCTGCTCGGACAGAGAGATCCCAGCATGAGCCATTTTCAGGGCCTGGAAAGCAAGTGCACTCGTTCACGCTGCCCCTGTGTCAGTGTCGACAGTAAGGATGTGGCCCCTTCTGTCCTGGGCGTCCAGATGTTCCAGCTGTGACCACATCCCTGCAAATGGAGGTGACCCAAGTGGTGGGGTGGGGGGGGGCGAAACCAAAGTGCCTCCTGAAGGGCCAGACTCAGGATTCCTGGACAGAGTCTCCCAGGGCGCCCTTGGGGCGGTTTTCTGTGTTTTAATTCTAATAAACGTGCAGATGTGAGAGCAGGAGCCGTGATACAGATGCTTTGATGATAAAAAGAGAGTTCTGCATCCGCAATCAGGATTTTAAACATTGAGAGGGTTCCGAATCTTCTCTCTCCGCTGGAAGGGTGAGTTTTTAAAAGCTATGTCTGCCTTCGTTCGCCCAATCTGGGGAGCAGGATCAGACGGGTGGCAACCTGTAGGAAAACATCAGCAAGACCCTGGGGAGGGTTCTCACCTACCCCACAGTCGTTGGCTCCATCCCCACACATGGCAACGTAGTAACTGGAAGAAGAAGAAGAAGAAGAAGAAGAAGGAGAGGCCCGTGGTCATTTAATCTCTCTGGGCATGGAAAGGCACCCAGGGCGGATCCTCCCCAGGGAGGGTTTCCTGCCACATCTGCCTCGTGTCCTCCCCAGGCTCAAAATGGTCTGCTGCCCATCCTGGGGTCAAAGGCAGTCCTTGCTTCCCGCAGGTCATGGCCTGGGTGGACAGCTACTCTGCTCCTTCTACCGCTCCTCCTCTGCCCTCTGGCATTGCCAGGGTGGAGGGCCTTTGGCGGGGCGCTTGGGCACGGGGACCCCCCTTCCCTCCCTCGCCTGCATGTCATGGCTGCTTCCGGAGCCTGCGGGCAGGGCTGGCTGGCCCTGGCTGACCCGGGAGGGCAGTTTCACAGCAGCCCTTTCGGGCGCTTCGTGACAACGGTCAGGAGAGAGTCCGCTGGGGGCTCATCAGGGGTCGGAGTGCCGGCGAAGCCACGGCAACGGCCATGGGGGCAGCCTATTTCCTGCCAGTCTAGGCCCCAGGTGGGGAGAGAGGACGTCAGCTCGGTGCCCACCCCTTCCCCCAGATCATGAGAGGAACCCACTCAAGTTTCTGAAATTCTTCCACGAGGCTTGACTTCTGCGCTGGAGACATCCGGGCAAAGACCGTTCCGTTCACGAGTACCTGCAGAAGAAAGAGGCCACCGTTTACCTAACTGTCCGGAAAAGGGCCTCCTCCTCCTCCTCCTCTGCTGCCCAGGAGGAGAGGAAGGCAGGGCCTGCTGGGGGGGGTGATGCCTTGAAAGTGATGAGGGGGGCAAATCGAAAAGAAAAGGGAGCCGACTCTGGAGTCAGGACCCCTCGGCAGCGAGGGGGCTCCCTTCCCCACTCACCTTGGGCAGCAGGCTGCTGAAGGACTTGGTGAGGGTCTGATAGGATGCCCCAGTCAAGACAAAGTGGAAGTCACGGCCCCCCTCTTTTGGACTGGAGTCCTCCAGGGTAATATAGAGGCCCTGAAAATTAGGCTTCAATTACTGTTTGCCCCTGCTTGTGGGGGGCTCATGGAAATGAAATGCATAAAGGCATCGGATGATGAGCCAATTGTCCCAAGGGAAAGACCCTCAAAGGAAAATTCTGTCTGCCCTGGCACTCCCCCCCCCCGAAAGAAATCCCATTCCAACCTGTCCAGCTGCAGCCTGAATCTTCCTCTCCCCCGCCCCTGGTCACAGCGGCAGACCCACATCCCCTCCCCGGAAGCAGTGCTGCTTTGGCCCTGGATGCACGGACGTCAATGCTGTGGCTAGAAGGGCCTGGGGAGCCGTGGGTTAAGAGGAAACCAGTGCACCAGGACAGGCCCTGCTGGACTTAATGCACAGGCATTGCCACAGCCTTTGAGAACCTTAAGATTTTTCAGCAGTTCCCCAGGATCTCCATCCCAGCCCCACCAAGGATGCTCATAACAAATTCCTTATTTCAACCCACAAGAATCGTCACAACTGAGGCACGGAGAAAGAGTGAACCTTCCATCTTCTTCTAATGGAGCCCCCAAGAGCTGCAGAGCCACTGCTCCCATACAGAACCAAAACTACGCACTTACTGACTGGCCAGGTTCACACAACACCTTAAACCCACAACCTGGTTAACAAAGCCCAACTGCCATAGTCACACAACCCATGATGCCCAAAACAAATGGTTTTCTAGAATGGCCTCCTGCGAAGGGAAAGGGGAACTGAATCTGGACTGAGGATCCGCAGCAAGGGGGCTCCCCACCCCCACCCCAACTCACCTTTGGCAAGGATCTGACAGGACGTCTCGCTCAAGACCAAGGCAAGGTCTGGGTTCCCACAATATCCTGAACTGAACTCCCCAACCCCATTTGAGCCTAGTCTAGTGTGTTGTGCCAACCTGCCCAAATTCACAAAATTGACCCCAGCTGCTGCCCCGGCCTTGTGTCATGGCCCCAGCTGCTCACGCCCCAGCAGAGGGATTAAAGAAACCCTGCCAGAGGTGGGCTTCTCTTCAGCCAGGCCAGGGATTGGGGAACATCTGATGCCAGAGATCTTCAGTTGGAGTCTGAGAAACTTGGTCCAGATGGACCAAGATGACCTTCTCCTAAGAAAGTGAGAAGGAACGTGGCCATCCTGGCTCTCCTCTGACCCGCAAGCAACTCAAGCCAACATCTGGGGCCAGAATCATCCTCCCCCTCCCCCTCCCCCCTCCTCTTCCTCCTCCTCCTCCTCCTCCACCAAGCCCTTCCCGCTCATCCTCCGGAGTCACCTCTCTTCTGGGGCAGCTGCCTTACCTCCTCTTTGCCTGCGGTTAAGGGCGCCTCCTCCTCCAACAGCTGCCAAGTCACGGATGCCGGGCTGGAATCCTCCGGCTCACAGGCATCCACCAGGACCACCTGGCTGGTGCTGGGAAGCATCCCGGCAGTCCTGGCCACGGTGATGGCTGTCTGAAGGTTGTCACCTGGGGATGAGGGAGGCTGAGATGAGTGGAGCCAGTCTTCAGAATAAAAGTCACTGCCATCCGCACGTCTGCAGCAGGTGACTCAGTCGGTTAGGCTGGAGTCTGACGGGCAAGCTCTCCCAAAGGGACAGCATCGAGCCCTGGGCACCAAAACCCTGTGTCTTTTTTGAAATGACAAGGAGGTGGGAGAGGTGAGTCCGAATATCCAGCTGTGGGCCAGGATCCCAGTGTTGCTACGTGGCAGCCCTGACTGGAAGAGAGCTGGGAAAGTCGGAGGCAGCCCCTTCCCACGGGGGCCTCAGAAGCCCCCACAGGCTGCTGGGACACGATGCTGAGAGTGGCGCTTCCTGGTTTAGGAATCAAGGGAGGTGAGAAAAGTCTAGAAAGCGTAATTGCGCTTCTGGAATGAGGCCACTGAGTTGGAGCAGTTAAAGGAGGCAAGAAAAGAGGGTGAGGGGATTCGTGGCAGAGGAGAGAGCAGGAGAAGTTGCTGGCGGGCAGTTCTGAGGCCCTTGGACCAAAGCAGCTCCTGGAACGGGGGAGATTCTTGGGAAACGTGCAACATAACCAGATGCCGAGGGGCTCCTCTACCCGTTGCTGCTCTAGAAGGCGAGGGGAGCAAGTTCAAAAGACAGGCAATCCAGCGAGCCCCCTTGGCTGCTGTGCAGCAGCTGAGCCCTCTCACCCTGGCCCACTACTCGACCCAAGAACCCTCCCACCCAACATACCCGTGACCATCACACTCCGGATGCGGGCCCCACTGAGCTCCTGCAGGACGGCCTTGGTCTCGCTCTTCAGGCGGTTCTCCATGACCAGGAGGCCCAGGAAGGTCAGGCCGGACTCCAACTCCTCTCTGTGAGGGAGGGAGAAGGAGAGGCAGGGAAGAGGCTAAGCCTGTTGTCCTCACCTTGGTTGGGTCCCGCGTGGCCTGCTCTGGAGCAGGGCTTGTTTGGAGGCCTTTCTCTTTGATGATATGGCAAGGAAATTCAGCTCCAAAAGTTGCAAGAGTTGGCACTTCTCAATGTAGGGAGAAATAATGGGGTGGGGTGGGGGGTGTACTCCAGAGATGCCCAGTTGGGTGCTCGGTGCACTGGGGCTGAGAGAGTTGCAAATATTTCCATCTCCCCACCCACCCTTCTTCTCCGGTTGCCTTGAACACAAGCATTTCGACAGAGCTAAAATTTGGAGAAGTGAGACTATGAACTTTGAAGTCTGTGAGCTGAATAGTTGGATCTTACCGTGTTGCTCCTAAGTACCCATCCAAGAGAGGTCAGCGTTGGCTGCAGCTGCCCCTTGTCCCGGCTTACCTTTCCAGGTCACTGAAGGCCGCTCCTTCAGGAAGGACAAGCTTCTTGTGGGCCAAGCCAATGACTCGGAAGCCCTGAGCCGTGAAGTGTTTCAGCTCAGCTTGGAAGTTGGTTGGAACTGGGGAAGGGGAGATGGCTCCAGTCAGTGACGAGAAGATGTTCACCCCAAGACACCCTCCACGCTTTCAATCTGCTCAGGCAACACTGGGATGAGACAGAAGGCAGCAGAACTGCTGGACAATCCACAGCCATGGCTTTGGGGGTCCTGGTCTCCACAGGCCCTTCCTTCTTCCAACCGTCGCTGTGCCAGCTGCCCTGGACCATCCAGGCTCCTCCTTCATCCCCACCAACCAGGCAAGAATCAGTGCCCAGTTTTTCAGCAAATCAATCTGGGATTTTCAAATCTTCATGGTCTCACATCAAACTGGGCCTGGATCTGGTCCAGATCCAGGTCTCCCTTGCTCTTGGATTCTTGCTGTGGCCAACTGGCCCAGTGCAGATCCTTGTGCTTCCTTCGCCATCCCACCCCTTTACTGGAACTAGAGGAAAGCAACCACAGAAAGAGAAGGCCACAATTATGTGAAGCCACTGATGGAACAATGGGCCCCGTACATTGACTGTACCTCAGAAAACCTCAAGAACACAACTGCCCTGAAAGGCCACTGAACACACTTTCCCTTTTGCACAAGGAAACAATCCAGACAGCTGGGAAAAAGAATCTCAAACCAGTGTCCAGAAGAAGACAGTACACTACCCTGTATGTCATGTCTATTGTATAAAGGCTGAGGGACGTTAGGAAGATGACCTATTTTGTTGCAACAACTTCTGCTGGTGTAGGATTATCAGTGCCCTCCCAGTAATGAAACGGGGAAAGGGCGAGGTCTAGCTCATGAGCCAAACATTGGCCATAGGGGTTCCCCCACCCATTCCACTGGTTTCTGTCTGGTTGCTCCCTTGACTTCACCTCCACTCCCATCCCCAAGGCAGTTGTGCAGAACCTCTTATCTCCTTTCAGCTGAGGTCATCAAGAGATTGTCCCCAGCTGGGCTTTAATCACCCTTGTTGAGGTCAGTGCCACATGGAGAATTTGGGGTAAAGAGGAAGCTCCCCAAGGCTGCAACCCCACCTGGCCAATTCCAACAATCCACACACAAACACAGTGAGCAGTGAGGTTAAGATGATTCCGGTAAGAGTTAAGCACCCTACATGTCTGCTGAGAGAAACACCAGAGTTCCCTGTAAAGTGTGGAGCTGGACATGGAGACAGGATTCCTTTCTGATTCAGGGGTGCTGGTTCTTTGTCCCTTACCAGTCATTCCCTCACAGAAGCTGGCCACCGTCTCTGGGGCTCCCTTCATGTAGAGCTCGTACCTGCTCTTCCCCACTTCTTGCGTGATGACGGACATTCTCAGCAATGAGGAGGAAAAGGGAAACTGATGCAGGATTACAATTCCTTCCACAGGGGCCTGGGAGGGAAGGGAAGCAGATGTAGTGGGATGAAGGAATAACCTTGAGGAACAGGAGGGAGAGCCACAACCAAGGCAGTGGTCAGAGAAAAGAAATGTAATTTGCAAAAGCGTCTCAGACTTGACCCTCCGTAGTTCTCTTGAAAGGGGGAGGTACGTTCAGACTTGCAAGATTCTGTTACTGTAACTTTATAACAAAAGCAGTATAAGCACTCATAACTTTGATTTCCTAGTCTGGTCTGCCTCGAAGGGTTGACATCAGGGCAGGCTGAGGGCTTAACCTCCACAACCTGCCCATAGGTTTGCCAGGCAGGATTTTAGGAGGAACAAATGCTTGTTTGAGACAAAGAAAGGTGCCAACGGCCTTTATGGATGTAATGGTTAGGCCTCTCCTGAAAAGAAGACCAACTCTAGGCTTCCACAACTGGTCAAGCTGGGCCTGACCTTCAGTTCTGGAGCTAACTTCAGGAGCTGGTAGAGGCCTCGTGGAAAAGAGTTCCTTGGATGAACTCTGATCCAAATTTGGACCTGCTCTGGGGCTTGGTCATCCTAGTGGATTTCCCTCCTAGTATAGCCAAGGAGGCTACAGCCCTCTTACTTCTCCTGGACCTCTCTGTGATTTTGATGCCATTGACCACGGTCTCCTCCAGCAGCGCCTGGCTTAGTTTGGTTGGAGAGTCTGCTGCTACGATGGCACCAGTGTTTTCAGAAGGTGGCTCAAGGGGGACCTTTGCCTTTGGACTGTGGGTACTGCCAGCTTTGTTGTTCATGTCCACCACATGAAAGTTTGGGCTGTCGTCACTAATGCTATATATTGCTGATCAGCTCTCTCCCACCCAACATTCAGAAGGAGGGTCTGGAACTGATGAACTGGTGCTTGGAGGCAACATGGGCATGAGGATGAGGGCATACAAGGTGGGCTTTAATCAAGAGTAGATGGAACTATTATGGGCTGGGAGATCTGATGAAGGAGAAGCTTCACCTGTAAGTGGGAAGGGCCCTGCTCCCTCTGAAGGACCAGGTCTGTGAACTGGCTAATTGCTGTTGGAGGAGGCCCAAGTGGCCCTCCTTGTCAGCACGCTTCCCAATTCCATTCCAATATTATTCTGACTTTTAAAGCTGTAAAACTTTAAATCCAGATTACTTGAAAGGAGACTCCCCCGCACACACAGCCCTGCAAGAACAGCCTCTGAGATCCTGCTGGTTGCCCACCAGCAAGTTGCCAGCACTACCACTCAATGTGGAGAGGTGCTCCTGCCTCACAGTGGCTTAAATAAATAAAGGGATTAAATAATAATACCATAATTGTACAAATCCTCAGACCTCCATCTGCTTGCATCTGTGCAGAAAATAAGCTCCAGAGCCAAACCCATTCTTGCTGGTTTGTTGTGATCTTAGATTTTTCCCGCCTTCGTGGACAGAGAACTCCCACCCCTGATTTTCCTGCACCTCCCATTTTCATTCGCTTGCACCGCCGGCTGGCAGCCGAGCCCTCGGTTTCTACGGGGAAAAACCAGGGCCGGAGAACTGGCTTACTGGGGAAGCAGCAGGGCCTGGTTTCACGACGACGCATGACTCGGGTAGGCTGGTTCGGCTGTTGTCCGGCTGGGGCTGTTCCATTTCCTGGTGTAGGAAAAATAATCAGAAGCATTAGGAGGTATTCTAGAGCCTGCTGGTGTGTGCGTGCAGGTGATGTGAACGAGAAGCGCAATATCCGGGGTGCTGAAAACCTGGTTTTGCTTTCAGGAGGAGCCCGGTTTGGTGGTTCAGGACTAGGAAGGTACTTCAGCCTGTGGGCTTCTGGTGCTGGCGTTTTATCAGGAGTCATTGTGCACCAGTCAAAGCCTGGAGGAACCGTCTCCCAGCTGCCCCATAACTGAAGGCTGGTCGGCTTGATATGTGGGTCCCTTCACTTTACTGCTTTTCCTCCCTGCCATGCCTGGTTGGCCACTGTGGAAGTAGAGCACCAGCGGGAAAAAACTGAACCAGCATGCCTGGGGTGGGTGGGGAGAGTACAGGTCAACTTGCTCGCATGTGTAAAAGACATGGAAGGCGCACCGTTTGTCCTCCTTGAGGCCGGACTTACGTGTCTTAGCACTTACACAGTAGCCCTAATTTACATGCAGCCCTTTGCCACAACCAAGGCTGTGTTCTCTCTTTAGCTACTTGGAGGATCCACTTCTTCCTACAGCAGCAATTCCCACTCTCTTCCTTCATAATACAAGTAGTCTGGTCAGGTCTGAAGGCACAGAGTACCTGCAAAGCTGAGTAGTTTGTGCCCCTCGAAAAGCTCTTTTTTGGTTCGTGGGCAGAATGGTTCCCTGTCCTATCGGGCAAGATTTCTCTTTAATCTACCGGCATCCTCACTGGTGGTCAGTCTTCTGAATGGTCCTCCAGCCGCCCCCCCCCAAGGTCTTTCCCTCACCAAACCCGTTCTTCAGTCCCCCCACAGGCTACGATCTTCCTCTCCTGAGACACGTGACGCTCCGCCAACCATAATCCCAGGGCGTGTGTGTTACTTAACTTGGTAACGCAAGCAGAAAAGGCATTGCAATTAAGCACGACAAAATTAAACAAACACCTGATCCTTCCAACCCCAGAAAGAAGCAAGGGGAGGCTGAACCAACATCTCACTCAGACTATTACATTACAAGCAAACGGAAAATCACATCCTGGAGTTAAACCAAGGGCACATTTTGCTCAGACACTTAGTAACGGGGCAGGGCCAAGCAGGTGAAATTAGCCCTAAAGTGGAACCTCCCCGCCCCCCCCCGCGCCTAGTTTCAAGGTCTTCTTTGTTGAATTTGGCAGGCCACCTATTTTCTTTAGCCTTGCCCATGTGACTACAGCCAGCAGCGAGTCTACTGTGCCAACCACCTGCCAACCGCAAGTGCACGGACTGAAACCTCCACCTGTTCTGGATATCATCAAAACACCCCAGAGCAATCCCTGCTGCATTTCAAACTCCATTTAGACTGAAGAGCTCTCTGAAGCAAGGCAGAAAGCGGGGCTGGCGGAACCACTGTTGGTTCACAGAAGATCCATGGCTGAGAACCCCTCAGTCACCACCACCAAGGGCTTCACCATCCTGACAGCCACCCATTGGTTCTCAATCACACCCCCTGCACTGCTGGAATAAAAGCGTTTATGCTTCAAAACTATTTTCTTGGCGTGCATTAGGGAGGGCAGCTGCAGGAAGCCCAGGGTGTGGGTGGCTGGCCTGCCCAGCTCTCCTTTTCCAGAGCAAGGGGGTGATCTGGAGCCCCAAGGCCTCACATTCCCATCCTCAGAGGCTTAGCTGAATGCAGCACCTGCCCTCGGGCAACACTCAACAGCTGATGGGTCAAGCGAGCGCCCTACAGGAATTTGCCAGCCGGGAAACCTTCTGCAGGTTCCTGAAGATTTATAGTCTTGGGACCCCCTTGTTCCCTTCCTGGAACTTGCTCTTTCATGCCGCCTGTTTCCATCCGATAACCCATTCCCGCAATTCAGGGAGCCCAGAACTCAGCATGCAATCTGTTAGCAGGGGAGACTGTCCATCTTGTTCACCCCTCTGTGCCAGCCCAAAACGTGGCAATGAGTGACTCTGGCAGGAACGTAGCTGGTAGTGCCCACTGCAGCCCCGAGGAAAAGGAAGGCACCTTCTTCCCCCTCCCTGCAATTCCCCTGCAAGAGCTGGAAAACTTAAGGGTGGTGGAAGCAGTTAGAAGGGCGTTAGGCTCACCCAGTCCGTGCCCTCAAACATCTTCAGGTCCAGCGGATCTCCCTGGATCTTCCCATCCAGCAGCAAAAGGGAGTGGCAAGTGGCCATGGCGCTGCATAAGGGCCCCCAGGCCAAAGGGGCCCCTGAGAAGCTGTGTACGCTCTGGAAGCTGAGGCAGAGGGTGGAATGAGCTCACTTGTGTGCGGAGCAGAAGGAGGTCATTTCCCAGCTGGCTCCCTGGGCAGATGTGCCACCTGCTTTATGGCAGGAGACCCCTGGGCAGCTCACTCCTACTTTGGCCGTACTTGGGCCTGAATGCCAGCATCCCCTGGGCAGGGGAGTTTCTGTGCCTCCAGGGCAGGTCAGCTAAGAAAATGGCCGGCTGGGGGCCACCGAGGAGCTGCAAGGCTCTGGTCCGTGTCATTCCCCCAAGGGGGAACCAGGAAGGAGGCAGCCCAGGGCAGGGGGCAACCGGACACCCCCAAGTCCCCTTCCTCCAGTCCCCAGAGCTCCTTCGGCCAGACACATGTACTACCATGCTCTGGGGAGCAACAGATGAAGGTTATAATTCTGCCCCCAAGCAGGCTGATCACTGTTTTCTCCCCCTTAATTTCCCCCAAACACCTGTGTGTGATGGCACCCCACCCACTCTGCAGCCCTCCACCCCTCAGTGTGGCTCTCAGCTAAGAAAAGATGTTTTTTCCCGGCATCGCGCTCAGTCTCTGTGCATCCATGACTGATGGCCGAGATTGCAAACGCCTCTCAGATTTCCATCCAGCGTTTCCTACCTCTTGTTCTGGCAAGGAACGACACCCCAGAGATCCAGCCCGTCCTCGGTTAGGGTGCCTGTCTGGGTTGAAGGAAGCACCATGGTTAAGCCCCCCGGGGCAGGGGTGCAGGCACGGCCGCCCCCACTTTTGTGAATGGAGACAAGGGAGGGGAGAGGGGACAGGAGGGCCATGCCCAAGGCGGGGCCGGAGCCTGGGGAGAGCCGCGCTCTGCGGGTGGAAGAGCTGCTTGACCCCCTTTGCCAGGGCAGCGGCCCTGAGGAGGTGGAGCCGGCTGGGAACAGCCTCCCAGAAGACAGGCCGCCCCCCCAAGAGGAGCCCTTCACTCACACTCACACTCACACACTCACACACAGACATGGCTGCACCTTATCAAAGCACACCAAGTTGATTTGGCCGCAGATGTTGATCCTCTGGGGACTGATGCAGAAAATTTTCTTCTTGGTGAGCCTCCGCTGGGCATAGACAATGCTGGTGGTCAAGGCCGCTGGGATGGCTGGGGGGACGGCAACGGTCAGGAGCAGGAGTGCCATGGCCACAGTGTCCGACACGGGTTGCTGGGAAAGGACACCTTGGTTGGGGGGGGCGGGCTGAGCCAAGGAGCCCGTGTAGGTTGCTCAGCTCCACCCGCCCCCCCCGAGAAAGGCAGCCCTGATCAGGGGGTGGAAGTTTGGCAGTGCTGGGGGGCCGCTCTTCCCAAGATGGGGAGGGTGTTCACAGTCTCTTCTGAGAGGAGCACACGTGGTGGGGGAGGTCGGCCTGTCCCTTGCTGCCAGTTGCAAGGGGGCCATTGCAAGCAAGGGAAGGCTGCAGGCCATTAACCCAGGCTGGGCTCAGGATACCGGGCAACTGCCCCAGACTTCCCAGCGTGCAGGAACCCTGTCGGAAAATACCCAGCAAGGGAACCCGGGCTGACCCCACTCCTTTAAATGCTCAGACTCGATTCCCAGGACGGTCCTCCGCTTTGCTAAGCAAGCAGCCATTGCGAACAAGGGAAACTGTTGAGGTGCCAGCTGTGCAGCATCTGCACCTCGGTTCAGCCTTTCTGGGCAGCCTTCAGCCAAAGAACATCCTCCGGGCACCGTCCCAGGTAAGCGCAAACCCTCCCGCCCCTTCCCGCCCCCTGGAATCTGTGCATGCCCCAAACTTGCCAACCATGAACCTCTTTTCTTTAGGGGAAAAGGCCCGCCCAAAGCTGAGAGACAAAATTGGAGTGTGGGGGGGGGGATTGGCAAGGATTTCCCAGCAGAGGTGCATCGGTCCTCCTCACTGCAAGCCTTTGCTGCTGCTTGAGCCCCGTCTCCTCCCCGTGCACCCAGCAGCGCCCAGCCAGGCGGAGGGAGGGAGCAGCAGCAGCAGCAGCAGCAGCAGCAGCAGCAGCAGCAGCAGCAGCGCTGGGTCTCCTGCTGGCCCGTGAAGCTTTCTTGGGGGCCCTGAGTTATTCTGGGGCTCTTCCGGGACCCACCTTCTGGATCACGTACACGCAGGTTGCGTAGATCAGCCCCAAGATCCCAACCACAGCCAGGCCCACGATGAACTGGAAGGCTTCTCGGTAAAGCCTGAAGTTTAGTGGCTTTGGGTAGAGGATGGACCTCACCAGGTCTCCCTTGGCGGTACTGAAGCCTGCAGGGGAACATGCAGCAGGCGAGGGGGACTCAGGGTGCCAGTCCAAAGCTGTCTCGGGGTGGGGGGAGACAGCCTGGAAGCTTCCGAGGGCCCCCTTTGCCCAGGCCAAAGCAGGCGTAACCTGTCCCGGCTGAGGATTATGCAAAAGGGGTGGCTGCTCCCAGCTCAGCATCTCAGGGGGTTCCTCAGCTGGCCCCGCTTTCCAGAAAGAAAGAAGGCCTCTTTCATCCCTGTGGCAAAGGCTGCCGAGGGCTCAGGCAGCGTCCCGCCTTCCGGAGGAGGGAGCCCAGCCAGAGCAGCCCACGCGAGCAGGGGCGTCTCTGCAGAGAAAGGTTCCTGGTTCATTTCAAAGCCAGATTTCCCTCACGGAAAATGCCTCACCTTGTCCCGCCTGTAAAGGGGCCGCTGGGACCCCCGGGGGAGAATCAGCTGCCCAGGTGGGACTCTGCAGAGCCGCTGCCTTCCTGCAGCTCTGCGAAGGGGGCCCGGTTCCTGGGAAGCAGGAAGATCCGCCCTGCGCAGAACCGACCCCCAGGTTCAAGGGCGGGCCTAGCGCCGGCTCAAGGATCAGCCGCTGGGATCGATGCCGCTTGGAATCGCTCCGTGAAACGGGACCCTTCCTGCAGAACGCGGCAGCCCTGCGGGCTTCTCTGCCCGGCTGCTCTTGTTCGCTTGTGAGCATATGGTACGGTTTGGCACCAGAAAGGTTATTACGCGAAGGCTGCGGGCATCCTGGATTAACGCGGAACAATGGAACAGGTTCACAAAGCTGAAACGGCCCTCAGAGATCACCGAGGGCCACGCCCTAAAAGGGGGGCTTAATCTGAGCTGTTGTTCTTCCTGCTTTGGCATCGTTCCTGCTAGTTCCTTTGCTGGCTTAAGTACGGCATCGCCGCTCCCCTTTCCTCGGGGCCTCCGGCGTACCTTCTGTCTGGACCAGGGGGCCAGACTGCGCTGTTCCCGGCAAAGCCGCCGCTGCTTGGACTCACCTGTTTGCAGCACAACGGCCCGGACGGGCCCTGGGCCTGCCCGCCTGATCTGGATCACCTCCGTGCCACAGAAGAGGACGTGCCGCCGGTAATCCCCCATCCCGTACACTTTCCAGGGCATGGTGTTGTCGGTGTGAGGCAGGGGGGTCTTCGTGACCGGAACACTTTCACCTAAAGGTCATGGAAGAGTCCACACAGCCCAGTGCCCCGCCCCCCTCCTCGACAGGGGTACCGGCCACTGCCCCAAGGAACGTACGGGCTGAATTCTGATTCAGGAGGAGAAACGGAGGGAAATGGAAGCCGGGAGCAAGAGGAGCCTCTTCCTTCGCTGCCCTTACTGCGCTCCGGGAGACGGGGAGGTTCAAGGGCTTCGTGGCTCCATTTCTCCACCAGCTGCCATTATCTGCGGGTGGGTCTCCAAGCAAACACGCAGCTAAGCCTAGAAATGGCCTTCAAGGACAGGCGTCCACGGACGGAAGCAGCTTGCAGAGCGGAGATGCAGCCAGAGGGAGGACGGGCTGCTGCCGGCAGCCACGGGGAACGCTCTCCCGGTTGGATGGCTGCAGCTGCGCAGGGCACCCTTGGTGGCGAGTCACCTCCATCATGAAACAGCCAGAGTTTCACGTAAAACCGGCCCACCAACCCTCTCCCCACGTCCCCCCCAGCAAGACCCCTTTCTCTGCCTGCCAGACCCACAGGCTGGGGGGAGCAGAAGCACCACCAGACACACGAACTGCCGGCTTGTACCTGTGAGCATCCCCTCATTGACCACGCAGCTCCCCTCTAGCAGGATGGCATCACACGGCAGGGAGAACCGCTGGCCTTCCAGGAGAAGGACGTCGCCCGGGACTAAGTGGCAAGACTCCAAGGTGCAACTCCCTGGCGAGGACAAGAAAGAGAGAGATGCCACATTCGCCTGATCACAAATCTGCCACACCACATGGACTGAAGCCATCTAACCATTTCTCTTCGCTTCGCTTTTGTACGCAGGGGAGGCGAGGAGACTTTTGTTGCTCCAGGAACTGCGGTGGTTTGGGAAGGAGACTGGCAGAAAAACCTTCCTGGACGCTTCTCTTGGCCAGCCTGCCTGGACTGAAGGAGACCTTGGCCCCACGTCACATTGCTGGAGTGATCAGGGAGCCCGAGAAGGCAGCGTGGAAGCCCCTCTCCCCAAGTGGCTGGGGGGGAGGGAGATGTGGGGAGGGGAGGGAAGGGGAGGGGAGGGATATCGGCTCACCACACCCACCTTCGCCTTTCATCCAGACTGTGACTTGGACCCGGTTGTGCTCCTCCACCAGCTTGTGCAGCTTGAGGGATTGCTGGGGGGGGGGGCGGGGAAGAAGGTTAAAGGGCTGGCCCTGGACCGCCTCTGCCCCTGCCCCCAGCTCAGTCCATCTCCCCTGCCTCCCTCTTTCTGGCAGGGGGGGGAAGGCTCATCCACATCCCGGGGGGGTGCGTGAGATTTGCCAAATTTTATCAATGGAAAATGTAGAGTCACTTTCTGTGAGACGGGCAGCTATATAAACGTGACTAATAAATAAGAAAGCCATTTACCCATCTCTCTCTCTCTCTCTCTCTCTCTCTCACACACACACACACACACACACACACACACAGAAAGGGTTTTCCCAGAGGGACGACCCACGAAAGCGTGGGGGAGCGTTATCCATTTCTCTCCTTCAGAGTCTTTTGGATGGTGACAGAAGACTGAGAAGCCGTTGGAGAGCAAAGATGGACAACTGGCCCTGTCTACTAAAACCGCAGATTTCGGGGGGAGAACAGCAGGACAAAGGCCTCTCCCGAAAGGCGAGGCTCATTGCCAAGGGGAGATGGGGGTTAGCAGGGAGAAGGCGGGGGCGCACGCTCCCCTTTCCCTCTGGGCCGGAGGCAGAGCCTGGACCCCGGGACTGACTCAGCCCCTGTGTGGATTCCCGCTGGGGCTGGGCCCCCCCGCCTCCTCTGCCCTTCGCTTCCCGGGGCGGGAAGCCGAGAGGGGCACCAGGACTCCCGTGCTCATCTGCAGCTGAGGTGTTCTTGCTCCAAGCGACCGAAGAGTGAAAATGGGCAACTCTGTGACACGGCGCTCCAGAGCCAGAGGCCAAAGGGCACGTCTCGGGCTCTCGGGCATCAGCGCAAGAAACACCCACGAAAAACGAATTGGGGGAAGAGAGCTCTGTTCCCCCGTACCCTAAGTCCAGAACTGCAAAGCGCCTCCCTCCCCCACAAAAAGCAGCCCTGGGAGAAAGACGCTTCAGGCCCCTTTGGGAGAGCTGGAGGAGGAGTCGGTCTTCCCCGGGACCCCTCCCCACATCGACCCCCAAGGGGAGAAGTCTGCCGGGGCAGCTGCCTCAGGGCCTGGGGATCCCCCGGTCAGGTCCATCCCCAAAACAGGCTCATCACCCCAAAGGCAGCTTTGCAACCCAGGAAGCGATCAGTATGCTGAAAGTCACCTGAGCATGTGCAGAGTCCCCTGAGCAGGTCACTCCATCTCTGAACAAAGCCAGAGTAAGGAGAACCACTGGACCAGGGAGTCCCAGCCACAGAAGCTGACCAAGTGACTTTGGCTCAGCCTCTCTCTCCCCTGCCTCCCTCAGAGGGTTGTGGTTATGGGGGGAAATTGGAGGAGGGTGTGCACATGTACTTCCTTGAGCGCCTGGGGACAGGCAGGGCGCTGATCTAACAAGTCCGTCAAGTGAGGGTGGGGCGGCAACCCCTCTTCCGCGAGATCGCAATGGGCAGGGCCGGCCTTCTGGCCGGGGCAGCGGTGTTTGCTCACCTGCCGAAGGTCATACACGGTCAGCGCAATGGAGATCACGGAGAGGATGATGATGGCCACGGAGAACTCAATGTAGCCTTGGGAGAGCCAGAGGGACAGGGTGAAGGCTTGGAAGACGTAGAAGGGGTTCAGGATCTGCCGGCAGAGAACGCAGACCGGCTGTCAGGGCCGCCGTGGGGCACCTGACAAAGTGCCCACAGACGTTCAGCCTTGCAGCAACAGCAAGGACAGGCGTGACGTTGGTAGGCCACGCAGGGTGCCCTCGAGCCACACAGGCCTCCACGGCCTTCCCAGGGCGTTTGTGGCCTGGGCCCCCTGCAAACCCCAGTGCCGGATCTGACTTGCACCGGAGGCAACAGCAAGCCAGCTCCGCGCCAACACCTGGTTGCCCCCAGAAGTGCAGCCCTCTGCCTGGCATCCGCTGCAGCTCCCTCGCCACGGCTCAGGAGGAGCTGCCAGGAAGCCCCACCCTCTGCCCAGCGCCCACGGCTGAGCTGGCTCTGCGCTGTGGCATCGCAAACGGCGGGGACTATAATCTCTCTCCAGTTTCTGCGAGAGCGCCATCGTTTTGGGAGAGCAAGGTTTGCTGTTGCTCGACTTCCCAAGAGGAATGTCAAATACCGTGAATTTCCTGAATTTGCTCCTCGCCCTCTTTGTTTTTGTCCGAGACCTGCCAGCATGCAGAAGTCTTACAAAGGAGCTCAGGGTCTGACCCAAGACCCCGAGCCTGCTCAGCACCATCCTCACAGTCTTTGCCAGAGAGCCCGTTACCTCTTTAAAAAGCAGTTTCCAGATGGGACGGATTTCGATCTTGATGGTGTTGGGGCCGCACACTAAGCTCCTGTGAAGGCAGGAGGGAGAAGCGCAAGTGTGCTGCGGAGCGGAGCGGAGCAAGCCGCAGGCGAGGAAGGAGCCCGGGCCAGGGCAGGACCCCTCCCAGCCGCCCGAGGTGCTCTCAGGGGAACCGGGCCCCCCACCCACCGCCCATCGGATGTAGGAACCTCCAAGGCCAGACCAGGCAAGCGCACTTCCTCCCCTCTCACTCCCTGGACAGACAAGCTTGTGTGTCCTATTTGCAACCCTCTGCACTTGAAAAATCTTCCCAACCCTTACGGAACAAATAAAACATTAAGACAAAGACTAAAAAAATTGAGTTAAAAAAAGGAAAGAAGGAACTAAAACAAAAGAAGAAAAAAGTTCAGAGGGTCCATGCACATCTAATTCTGTGTGTGTTTGCACGTGCGATTCTTGGCCAGAGTCAAGGCTGAGAAAATATTTCAGTGCCGGTATACAGCATATGGGGAACTTTTTTAATACTGCAGCTGTTTTAAGACGCAGGCTTGTGGGAAGGTGAGTTTCTGGCTGATGGAGTTCCCAGCCGGTGACCCTGCAGCCTCAGCGACTTCCAGAGCCCGGTGAAAAGAGAAGGAAAGGAGGGGGGACCACCTGGGGGAGGTGCTGGCTGTGGGGGGGGCATACCTGAGACCCTTTTCCTTCCTCTCCAGCCCTTCCCCAAATCTGTGATGCATTTCGTAGCAGGTGTGGCTGTCCTCGAGGGACCTAGGAAAGGAGGCACACCGAAACATGATGGAGATCGGCAGGGACCCTCCGGCTCCTCCTTCTCCTCCAAGAAGCGGAAAACTCACCCAACTGGGGCAAACTGTTTCTCAGAAAAATCCCAGACATAGCGGATTTTTTGTACCTGGATATATCTCCCCTATAAGAGCAACAGATCACGAACACATGAGAACACCAAGGGCCTGGCTAGCCTTCCCCAGTGGCCGCTTCAGCCGGGCCGGGAGCAGAGGGCCGCCCTCCGGGGGAACGCACAGCGAGCCAGGAGCCCTGGGGCTCTGCTCTGCCTGGGAAGGGGCCGGGGTGGGTCGGCAGGGAGGATCAGCCCCGCCCCCTCCCCCCGCAGGGCGCCAAGGGTTGCCACGATGTACAGGGGTGCCCCGTGGCCTCTGGAGGTGCCCAGGGCAGTGCTGCGCAGCTGACGTTCCCCCTGCCTCCCGATGAGGCCCCCACCGTGGCTCTGGCTGGGCCCCGGAGGTCTGAAACCAGGGAGGGAATGCAGGCCACGCCAGAAGCCCGCAGGTGGAGCGCCGCGCATTTTTCCACCGGACAAGGCGAGGCGGCTGCTCGCTAGAGGCTCTTGCTCTCACCTCAGGCTGTGCCTGATGGAACTCACTCAGCAGGTGGCAGAGCAAGACATGTTGGAAAGCTCTCCGCGGTCCCCCCCCCTGCCCCCCCCTGCTTCCAGTTAACCCCAGGTCCCCCCCCTGCTTAATTTCATGTCAGGCATCTTTATGGCTTTTCTGAGGACTGAATGCTTGTCTGTACTGAAGCTGTACTCCGATTTTTCATGGCCCAAGAGATTCTGAAGGTCCAGCCAGATCACCTTCTTCCGCGCGTACTTTTTACTCTCATCCTGGGGGGGGGGAAGAAGAGAATCTTCAGAGTTAGCGATTTTTCGGTTAGAGCAGGACTGTTTTATTGCTTGAGCGGGAGACTAAGGTGCGGGTCTCATAATGATGCCGACTCCTTTCCCTGTGGAAGGAGAAAAGGAGAGGAGGACGACCCGCAGCAAGGTGGGCAGACTCAGTCACGGTGGCAATGGGGGCACCGTTGGGAGACCCGAAGGGCCAGGCTGGGGACAGACCCTCCTGGAGGGAATCTGTCTCTGTGGTCGCCAAGAGGTGGCACTGACTTGGTGGCACATAATCAATCACTCAATCACTCAATCACTCAATCAATCTTCGCTCTGGGCCCTGGTAACTTCAGCTATAATAACAAACATTTTAGAAAAGGTATAATTAATTCTTCAAGTGAGATTTGTCAGGTTGCCAAGAACTCTCAATCTTCATTAGACTAACTATGCTGGAAAACGATTTCAGATTTCTAGACTACATTAGATTCCATGGAAACAGGTTAAGGATTTCAGATTTAATCTGTCAACTCCAGGACCCAGCATGAAATCAGAATAAGGAAGAAACGATGAATATGTTGTCTCCCCCTTTGAATATGGTGGGGATTCTGTTTCCAACCAGCCCGATCTTTGGATTTCTGAAAAGCGAATATGACCTCGTAGCCCAAGTGGTGGATGCTTCCCAGCCAAGAAACGAAACCGCTGTGGACCGCCCAAGTCGCGGTTTAACCCCAAGAAAGGAGACGCTGAAATGCACGTCCGAGCCATGTCTGTGCCCAGGAGAGTGGAGGGAGGCTGCCCGTTCTCCAGCGCCTCGGGGCAGAGCAGGGTTCTCGCTCAGGAGAGACGGGGCCACGCCAGTACTGTGCAGAGCAAGACGCAACGCCCCGGCTGCGGCTGCGGGGGAGGCGGGCTGCTTCGGCAAAGGACGAGGCACCTACCGTGGTCCTGAGCAGCACCACGTCGGCCTCCTCCAAGCTGCAGGGCACGCAGTTTGCCCACACGTCCCACTCCGGTTTCCAGTGGAAGAGAAGCAGGAGCCCTCCGCAGGACAGGAGATACCCGGCCAGGCACAGGGCCCTGCGGACGCCTTGGGTCTTGTAGCCGACGATCTCCTGGGAAGAACATCGGTGTGAGGTAAACCCCGGATGAGTTCACACAACGTGCTCAACCTGGTGGCTGAATGAGCCCATACAAGGTACTGAAGCATAAACTCAGCAGCTGTACAACACACGACAGCGCAAACCCTAACCAGGGTTAAGATTAATTCAGCTTCGCATGTTGTGTGAATACAGCTGTAGGTGTTGCCCAACCTGATAAAGCCACAGCGCGCTAGGGTCTGAGGATGTGACACCCAGCAATTTTCCAGATTGTTCTCACATGTCAAATGCAAACAGGAATAATGGTTCGGCCTGAACGAGGCAAGCTATTCACACTCTAGGTCTCTGCTTCAGAACCGTTTTCGGGTGAGAAAGAGGCAGAAGGTAGATCCCCTGAGAAGCAGGAAGGCTCTTTCCAGCACGATCCCCAACTTCTGAAGAGCACTCCATGACAGCCTCCTTCCTGCAGTGTTACGATCCACTCAGCCCCTATTCCCAGCAGCCTTTCCCAGAGCGGAAACATCTCTGAACAAAATTGCCACCAGATGTACTTGAGATCATCTGGCCAGGTGCATCTGATTCCTAATTTTGTCATCTTCAGATGCAAGATTGTTGGATACATCATCCTCGGAAACCAAATGCTTTCATTCGTGGTGCAGAAAAGGAGGATCACCTGGTGTCCTATTTTCCATCTCTATCGTTCTGCCATTATGTCTACAAAAGGGTCAAGGCTGGAATTACTAAAGGCCCCTCCCTGGGACTGTCCAGGCTAATTACCCGGGCTTTTTCCCAGGGGCTCTGGAAAGCCCTGCGCCTTTTGACATAGACGGATGCAGGAAGATATACTGTAGATAACGTGAATGGTTGCCGGTCGCTCATCTCCCGGCTCTGCCCTGCCTCCTCTTGCCCCGTTTTGCCAGTCAACTGTTCTGATCTTTGCTGCTGCTCATTAAATGAGCCTCAAGCCACATTTTTGGCTGGCTGAGCTGAGTCGTAGGTGCGCTTGCCCTGATCTGGATCTGGGATGGGCTGGGTGCAAAACTAGCTGGAAACTGGCCACAGCAATTTCCTAACAATTGCAAGGAACAGCAGTTAAGGTGAGCTGTGTGTATATGATGTGTTATTAGCCAACCAGCAATGGATCAGATACAAGTCAGCTGCGTAATTCACCCAGGGTACCTCCAAGGGGTAATTGAAGACTCAGGGTAGCAATTAATCTGGCCACCCAACCGGCTCGGCCAGGTCAGTGAAAGACTCGGTGTGGCATTTGCACAACACCCTAAGTGTAGCTATTGCTGACCTCAGTTAGGCTTTTTTGGGCTTAATGCATGGTGTGAGTCCAGGCCGGTTAGTTCATTTTTGATTCCATGTCCTGGGTGCAAAGAGAAAAAGGCACGCGAGCAAGCAGCTCTTTTCTCACGCTGCTTTCTGCTTGCAGAAGGAAGGTTAAGTGTTCAAAGGGAAAGATCCGTGAACGGGTAACAGGTTAATACAGATCGGCGCATGCAGGTTTGTCACCTTGTCCGTCTCAAATACAGTACGCCCTTTTGATAGACAGAAGGTTGTGTTTTCCACCCATCAAATGCAAGGTTCTTGATGGGATTTCAGTGATAATTAGATAGATTATTAATGATTTAATAATCAATAAATCCATTTAAAAAATAATTGTAGGAGAGTTTGAGTTTGTCAGAACAAGGAAGAATGTAGGAACACCTTAAAGGCAATTTGCATACAACGGATTGACAGCGTCTCCTCCAGTTGCATAGCTGGGGCAGGCGTGGGGCAGGCAGGCTGACGCCTTGCTCCATGAGGAAGAGTTTGGCCAGGAACAGCTGCAGCGGGAGATAAATCTCCACCACGGAAAGGGACAAGGCAGCTGTTCGAAGCCAGACGGTAACAAACGTGGAGACTCAGCGTCTGCTTCTTGGCCTGCTTTGGCAGCGAGAGATCGCAGCGGCTTCCGTTCCCCAGTCGAGGTTGGCTCCTTCAGAGCAGTGGCGAAAACGCGGGGCGTGGGTCGCCTCCAGAGGAGGAGGCTGAGCAGAGGATGGGAGCAGCCCTCACGCCTCGGTGGAGCAGAGACGCCGAAGACGGGGGGGGGGGGGACTTCTTGGCCCAGGGCAGGATCAGGGCCGCTGGGTGGAAACTGCAAGGAAGAGGTTTGGGCTAGACGTCAGGAGGAACGGTCCGACTGTACGAATGGTCAGCCGGTGGAACAGGCTGCCCATGAAGCCAAACGTCAGGCTGCCCTGCTTGCCTAGGTGTGCTCGGTGCCAGCCCCCCAACGGCAGCCAAGATGCTCCCTGGCTCCTTGCTGGGCGACAGTCAGCTGAGAAGGGGGCCTGGGTCCGGGTCAGGCAGGGGGCAGGGGGAACAGGTGGGAGAAGCGGGGGCAGGCTGAGCCCCAGGCCCCAGGCAGGCCAAGCCCCTGCTTACGAGGAGCCGGTACGGTGCCAAGCACCACCAGACCTGCCCACAGGTGGTTGGGGGCGTGTGGATCGCGGCTCTGAGGCGCTGCGGAGATGCCCCTCCATCCAGGGCAGACCCCCACAGGGGCCCTGCCTTCAGGGGGCGGAGACCCCTCCTCCTCCTGCTCCTCCCCCCGGTTGCAGAGCAGCTGCTGCGGGCGGCTCGCTTGGGTTGCAGCCCTGGTAAGCTGCCTTTCCAGCCGGGGAGGAACAGCAGCTCATCCTGCCGAGGGTCCCCCACCAAGGCTTCTCGGGGGTTTTCTGCAAGGCCAGCGCAGAAAAACCCACCATGGCTGGATTTTTCCAAGAGACAAAACCAAACCAGGCGTGGTGGCTGAGGGAGACGCTGCATCCCGCATAATGCAATAAACCACAGAACGATATTTCTTAGAATTAGTAGGTCTCTGGCAATCAGCAATGTTACGCAAACGTGCACACTTCACAACAGGCGCGATGGACGAAGGCCCCGAGGGATTCTATGGCAAATTGCAAGTGGTGCTAGGTCAAGGAAGGACACAGCACTGCTCCTGGGCAATTGGGAGGGAGAAATGGAGGAACCCAGAATCCCGTGGAGATTGGGATGGGAGAAACACAACCGTGCAGAGATAGGCGAAGAGAGTTTTGTGAAGAGAGTTCTTCATTTACAGGCAACAGGTGCTTCAGGTAACATAAATGCCACCGTGCCCATGGCATCCCCAGATTCACACTTCAGAATCAAACAAGTACCCGGAAGCCGATGGAGAAACACAGCTCAGTCAACCAGCGGCGTTCGGGGGCAGAGCGTGGAACAGATAATCACTCAAACTGAAGAGCGTATCTGCCATTAAGCTAAGAGTTGGGGTCGGCCTCTACAAGGGGGAGAGCCTCTTCTGTGGTGGCACCCCATATATGAAATCCTCCCCAGAAGCTCATCTAGTGCCCACTCTTCGGTGCCAGATAAAGACCTTCCTTTTTTCCCCAGACTTTTTAACTGCCCTTTAATTGCATTTTCATTCATGTTATTTCAGTTTTTGAACGACCTCCTTGCAGTTGCCTAGCTTATATGGTGTTTTTATTTTGCATTTTAATGTACCTGTCTTTATTCAAATTGTATTTTTACTGCGCTTCATTGTAGACCACCCAGAAAGTTTTGGCTATTGGTGAGTTTATAAATAAATAAAGCAAGCTATGGATATAAAATCAGTGAAAGGCACAGATTCAATCTGCTTAACGTGTGAAAATGAACCTGAGGAGCTCTGGGGAGAGAGAAGAGGCAACAGGAAATCCAAAGAGGTAAAACGATTCCAAAAATCGTAAAGAAGAAAAGCTTCGGGAGGTTCAAGCCAACCTTTTATGCCAGTCGGGGGAAGTCGGAATACCAACGCCCCGGCAGCAAGACCTCCGCCATCAGGCCAGAAAGGGCAGAGGAAGAAACCTCAGCCGAGAACGCCAAGAAATAGAGGAAGGTCACAAGGCAAGGAGGACGAGGAGCTCCGTCCAGGAGGCGAACGAAGGTCACAGGGAAGAGGAGCGTTCAGGAGTGACCACGGGAGGGATCTCAGGGAGGCAAAGGCGATGAAGGGTTTTGGAAACAACACTGGAAACTTTTGCAAACAGGACTGTAGATTGACAAACATTTCTGGAGAAAAGCATATTTAAGGACAAACTTCCATAGAAACTGTGGTGCAATAGGGAAAAACCCAGCTGATGAACCAGAAATTGAATCAACTAAAGCGGGAGGTAAACAGGGTGTAAACTAATAGGGACCCAGAGGGCGAGGCCTAGAAATGGGAGAACGCGGTGTCCATTCCTGTCCTGGAGAAGGGGGATGCGCAGGTGACCGAGCCGAGCGGTTCCACAGAAAGCCATCTTGTAAAGGAAGCAAGTATCAGGCTTGCCAAGGAAGGCGAGGAGGAAGGCAACCGTTGAACGGGAGCTGGTTTCTGCCGCTTGCCCTCCTGGGGCTCATGAGTTCTCCGGCCTTGCTGGCCTCCCCCCGTAGGGCGGCCCATGTCCTCCCCACCCCCAGCCAGACCGTTCAGGCCGCTGAGTTCTGAGCAGACACCCGGACCAAGGCCTCCAAGCCAGCGAGGCCCCTGAACCCCAGTCGGCCTCCTGAATAGCTCGCTCGGGCATTTGCCGATGCTGGCTCACGAGTTATCTTAAATCAGCGCTTGTATTTTTAAATGGGAAAACTAGGAAGTAACTGACCACAAAAACTGACTTGTGCCAACCTGTTTTATTAACTGTGTATTCTCACTATAAGCAGAAAACCTAAACCATGTTATGATTGGCGTTTGACATCATTTCTGGTTAGCACTGATTATATGGCCATATAAAAGTTGCTTGTACCCTCCTTCAGTCGGCCGAATCTTGAGATCTGTCCCCAGCGCTGTTCAGATAAACTCGGCTCGAGCAGATCCTGCAGTCTCCGGTCATAAATTAGGTCATGGGGAATTCTCCCCCACAGGCTGTCATGTCCCCCGCCCCGCCTGCCCCAGAAGCGTCGGCACTTGCTCTCAGCACCTGAGTCTTCACCCCGGCCCTGCTAGCCATTGCCAGCTAGCCTCAGACTGGGGAGGGCAATGTGCCAGTTAGCCTCGCCACCCCTGGCTACGCCAAGGGAGGTTCTCTGGGCTGCGATCCAGGCATGGCCCAGGGAGCCTTCCTGACCTTTGATGGGCAAGCCCTTCTGCCTTCTGAAAACCTTGCTGCTCGGCGCTGTTGGAGAGGGAAATTCTCTGTTGACTTATATCCCATTTTTTGATTTACATTTTCTCTCCCTTCCCATTAGGCCCCACAGACACGAGATGACGTTCGACTTGCCTACTCACGCAGAACGGCAGAGTAACTCACACACTTTATGGTGGGCTTGCGAAGACAGCTCAAGCACACATGGACGTGATCAGTAGCATTCCAGGGTCAAGACCTCAGAACAAAGACAATAAGCCAGATCTATAATTAAGCAACAAGAAGCTGCAGAGGCATAAGAATGATTGGCTACAGAGGAAACGCAAAGACAGAGGTGAGTGGGTTAGACTTGCACTGTGCAGTGGCAAAACTTTCCACTAGCATCTTGCTCTAGCAGTCTTTGCAACCACTTCGTCTTGCATCTAACTCAGACAGCCTAATGCAACGAAGAAACAATGTCCTCTTGAAGTGTATTTGCTTGTTAAATACTTGCTGCTACAGTTTATACTCTCACTATGCTCAGGAGCTCTGTGCCAAAACATGTAATAACATTCGAACGGCTTAATTTCTTCCCCAGGGCACTATGCAAAATGGAACTCTTCTGCAGCAGTGCAACAAGGAATGACTTTTTGTGCAACACAAATCAAAATCTTCCAGCAAAACTGCAACCTGTGCATTTTTACAGTGGTACCCATGGATGAAAGGACCCTTGACTGCGTTCACACAATATCCCTAACCCAGTTAATAAATTAATCCATTTCCTGGGTTCACACAATATATGGAACCATAAACCAACAAAGGAGACTACGTGTGTGCGCAAGACAGAGAGAGGGTGAGATTCTGTGCATTGCCTTTCCAAAAATAAATTAATTTGATAAGTTGGATGAACTTATTGTGTGATCCACACACAGCTATTGGCTTTACGCACACGATAGACTTAACCAAGTCAGTGAATGACCTACTTGCTGCATTTGTATAGTGTGCAAAGCTTGGTTCATTTTTGGGGTAGCTGAATGCATTGTATCAACCCCGTCCAGTTGTTTAGTTTATGGTTTGTTATGTAGTGCAAATCCAAAAAGTGTGTTCATTCCATAACCAGATTAAGTGTATGGTGTAAATGCAGCCAGTTAGCAGGATAATGGTTTTCTAGTATGGAGATCATAGTTATGCCTCACTTGTCTTTCATCCTAGAGATCCACTTGGAAACCCAAAGTCGTCCCTGCAGTGATCGCAGCCGGGAAGGGGAAGGGGACCTGTCAAGGGGGATCTTCAGACAGGATTTCTCAGTCCTCCGAAAGAGGAAAGCGCACGAGAGAAACCCGGAATTATCCCTCCTTGATTTTCTCTGGTATAAGGTGGGGCAGAGAGAGGCCTGCACAGTCCTGATGTCTTATGCCAGAGTTATCCCAGCAAATGAGACTTTATTCACCCCGCAAACCAATCTTTTTAAATACAAAGCGCTTTGGAACAGAGAATCAATGGCTCGATTCAGGTTAACCTGATGCAATTCCTGTATTCCTACAGCATGTCAGACCCAAACCACCACACTGCAAAACAAGCTGTATTCTAGCTTAACATGATCGCCTGATTCACACAACATGTAAGATAATGGCTGGTGCCAGCAACACATTGAACTTCAAACAACCGCACCCCTTTTAACCTCCTGATTGTACGAATGGAGCCAAAATGCCATTAGGACAAAGGATAAAGGAGAATGACTCATTTCAAACAGGATTTGGGGTTTTTTTTAAGGTTAACACATCTGGAGAGGACAGCTGTTGGTCCTGCCTGGCAGATGTTGCTCTGAGCCAAGAAAGCTGGATGGGGCCTGACTGAGTCTGTTTCTGGCCACATCTGTCCCTGGTGCGTAACAGGAGCATGGCCACCTGGCATTCCTTTCCCTTAGAGAGAAGAGTCGCCCCCAAGAGAGCTCTCTTCCTCTTCCTCTACATCTCCATCACTGGAGTTATTCCTATGAGGAACCTCTCAGCTTAAGCACACTCGCTCACTCTGCAGTTGCGAAAGTGTTTTGGACAGCCTCTGCTCGAAGTAAGGAGAACACAGCACTTCATGTGGCGGCCTGTTCCACTGGCGGGCAGCTCCTGCATTAGAGAGTTCTTCCTGGCATCTGGACTGAACCCATTTCCTTGTGCAGTAGTTTTAGTCCACTGACTCTGGTCCCGCCCTTTGGATCAGCAGAGAGTAACTTCACGCCTTCTGTGTGTCACCACCCTTCAGATATCTGAAGCATCTCCCTTAATCCATCCCTCTGCAGGCTAAACGTACCGGATCCTTTAACCTTTCCTCGCAGAGCTTGGTTTCCAGACCTCTCACCATCTTAGCAGCCCTCCTCTAAATATCCTGCAGGTCATCCCCTCCTTTTGGGACCTGGTGCCCAGAACTGGACACAGAACTCCCAGTGGGGTCTGAGCAGAGCTGAGCAGAGGGGGACCATCGCTTCCTGTGATCTGGACTCTGTGCTCCTGTTAATACGCCCCAGGAAGGCAGCCGTGTTTCGAGCAGCCTCCGCACTTCGCTGCTGACTCAGGTTTATAGGAAGAGGGGCCAAGACATACCAGCTTGGATCTTATAAACAGGCTCCCAAATAGGTTCTGTCACTGATGTCGGAGAGGAGAGGCAGAACTCATACTCCGGAAAACCCACAAATGCCGGCTGCAGGAGGAAGGAATCCCTTCACCCACGGACCAGGCATGGACCTCACCGCAGAAAACCCAAAGAGCAGAACTCCCCTTTCCAACACCATCAACGCACAGGAAAGGGGTTTTCAAATACAGAAAAGTACCTTTATGCAGCCGAAAGGCAGCAAGTGTTGTTTTCTGCAGGGGGATTTGTGAAAGATTTGCAGGAGCAGCTCAAAACAGAAGAATAAAGTGAACGAAACGGCCTCAGTTAAGACCCCTGGAATTGGAGGATTTGCTTGGAAAAGGACACGGCTGATGAGGACTGGAACTGGACAATGTTTCCAGGCGATGCCAACTTCTCTCTTCCCTCCCCATCCCCACCAACCTCCCCCTCCAGTCCCTGAGGAAGAGACCAGCAGCAGATCCCCGCCCACCCGCCTTGAATTACAGGAGGGGAACCCGAGCATCCCCCAAAGGATGGCCCCTAACCGTTGGGGCTGTTCCTTCCACAGCTGCTGGGCCGTGGGGTGGGCAGCGATAGGCGAGCAGAAGCCAGTGCAGCCCAGCGGTCCGGTGGGGGCAGCTGTGGGGGTTCCTGGAAAACTGAACCGGGGTGGGGATGGGGCACTGCCACTCTTACCGTCTCGCCCTCCTGCCCCTCGTTGAGCAAGGCATGCTGGGGATCCATGGGACGCCTCCTCCCCACGCTGGCAGCTGCCCTTGTGCCCGGGTGGCCGGCCTCAGGAGGAAGGCGATCCCCACTTCAGCTGCAAAAACCTGATCTCTGGGCAGGAACTCCTTCTTGCTGATAATGCCACTGGTGGCTTTCGAGGGTTGTGCAATGCACACCTTCGATGTCTGCAATACCCATAGCTGAGAAAACCTGTTCTGGTTGGCCAGCTTCCAGATGTTATGTAAGCCCTTGTGTGTGCGAGGGTGGGTCCAACCCTCAGCCACATGTGGGAATGGGCCTTCAGACCTTAGCGAGTGGGCGCGTTTGCCAATCCCGTGCTCATAACTCAGTATGTCTCCCCCCTGCCCCCCGTGCCTGGACGTCCATTCACATAATCCCCGGCCCTTTGCCCTTGGCTGTGCGGGAAGGAAAGACGTTCAGCAGCCCATCCGGAGGCTCCCAGCCGGGCTGGCCATTAGAGGCTCAGGCCTTGCACCATGGGGCTGAAACCGAGCGGTCTGATGCTCGGCTGCAGATGCAGATGGCCCCCTTCCCCTGGCGCAGGACTTCTGGTGGGCATCTGGCCCGTGGCCATGGACCTGCCGAAGGAGACAGAACAAGGACATCCCACAAGACTGGCATCAAGCTGGAGGGCTTAAGGCGCCCACGACGGGGGGAGGCCCAGTCTTGTCTGTAAGGCTGAAGACTTGGATGTCCCCTTGGGCCTGGGGCCTGGAGGTTGGGGGAGTGGGCCTTGTTTGTGACTGGAGAAGGGTTTGTTTTCGGGCGCCGTGATTTCTCTTATATTTCTTATGAGGTGTGCTTGGTTTTAACCCTACGTGCGCTGCCCAGAGGGCCATCTGTGAGGTGGGTGGCCGTCTAAATCGACATAACAGAAATAAAGCCCAAACGCCTGGCCGCCTCCCCACTTTCCCCCGGCTCTTGGCTGCTGCCTCTCTTCCGATGCTGCTGATCTTGCATTGTTCACCATATGCTGCTGATTTTGCGTGTAGTTACACCCATAGCCATGAGGGTTGACTGCCCGTGCTGAAAACATCCTAAGACAGTGACGGAGATGCCGCCCGTGGCGGGGGGAGCGCCTGGCCGGGGCTGTGCCAAGGTCCTACCTTTCTTAGGAAAGGCAAACGAGTCAGCCCAAGCCCAAAAACACATCGGCAGAAAAGGGGAAAATGCTTAGAAAGCACCTGTAAGAGTGGCACATACACGCCTTAGATATAGAACATAAAATAGATAGAACATAAAAAGTGTAAGGGAGAGCAGAGAAAGAGGGAGGGGTTCATGTTTCAAATGCTGCTGGAAAGGACATAACCTCATTAATATGGACTGGACTGGACTGGAGTGGAAGAACAACCCACCCTGCCCAGAGATTCAGCCCTGGGATGAGGAAGAAGATTGATTGATTGATTGATTGATTGATTATGTGCCATCAAGTCAGTGTCGACTCTTAGCAACCATCTAGATAGATTTTTCTCCATGACAATCTGCCCTCAACTTGATCCTTCAGCTCTCCCAACAGTGCATCTGTCACCAGCGTAACCGAGTCCCTCCACCTTGCTGCTGGTCGTCCTCTTCTCTTTCTGCCCACCTTTCCCAGCTTCAGAGCCTTCTCCAGAGAGCTGGGTTTTCACATCATGTGTCCAAAGGAGGATCACTTGAGCCTGACCATTTGGGCCGCAAGGGAGAACTCTGGGCTGATTTGTTCAATGATCCATTTGTTAGTTTTCTTGGCTGTCCACAGTATTCCCTGGAGTCTTCTCCAACACCAACGCTCAAAAGCAGCAATACTCTTCTTATCCTGCTTCTTCAAAGTCCAACCTTGGCTTCCATAGGGTGTCACAGGGAATTCCATGGCTTGCACGATTCTGATCTTTGTAGGTACAGACACATCATGGCATCTGAAGATCTTCTCCAAGGCCTTCATGGCTGCTCTACTGAGTGCCCGTCTGCAGTGTATTTCTTGACTGCTTGCTGTTCTACTGTTGATGGTTGATCCTAAAAGGCAGAAGCTGTCTACCACTTCAATACGTTCATTATCAATTCTAAGGCTGGTTGTTGTATCTGTTGTCATTAATTTGGTCCTCTTTATATTAGAATTGGTTTCATTTTTTCACTATGCTCCTTCTCTTTTATTAGTAGACTTTGCAGATCCTTTGCCTTTTCAGCTATTAGAGTAATGTCATCAGCATTACTGATGTTTCTTCCTCCAGTTTTAAAACCACATTCATCTTCTCCCAATCCAATTTCCCTTAACATAACATTCATCCTTGTTGCACTCCTTTGCCAACCAGAAGCCAGTCTGTTTCACCACGCTCTGTCCATACTGTCGCTTCCTGACCTGTATATACGTTTCTCATGAGGACAGTGAGAGGCTCTGGGATTCCCTTTTTCTGAACTCATTTCATAGCTTGACATGATCAACACAAAGGCCCTTCTACTATCAGTGAAGCACATACTGACTTCTTTTTGGTATTCTTTGACTTTCTTAATTATCTAGTGTGCATCGGCCATAATGTCTCATGTTTCTCAGCCTTTTCTAAACCCAGCTTGAACATCTGGCATCTCTTTTTCCGTGTAGGGCTCTAATCTGTGTTGGATGATTGTAAGCATTATTTTGCTAGCACATGAAATTAAGGATACAGTACAAAAGCTTGCACACTCTGTTAAGTCTCTCTTTTTTTGCACTGGGACGTAGATTGACCTCTTTCAATCTGTTGGACACCGTGTCGTTCACCAGATTTGCTCGCGTAGCTTGGTTAGAATCTTTACTGATTCTTCTTCTGTTGCTTGCCTTATTTCAGTGGGTCTTCCATCGTTTCCTGTAGCCTTCCAACTTGGTAACAAAGTGCTGATCTAACTTCATCTTCTAGTGCTAGAGGTTATTATAAGTAGGGAATATCTTCTAAGGTATCTTGGATGTTGACAAGTCTTCTGTACAGTGTTTCAGTACATTCCTTCTATTTTAGTTTGATCTCCTTTGAATTGGTTATTATCTGTCCACTGGAGTCCTTTAGCAGACCAGTTTGAGAGTGGAATCTCCTCCTGAGTTCAGAGATATTTTGAAAGACTTTCCTTGCTTTTCTGCGTCCGTTTCCATCTTCAATGTCTTTATAGATGTAAAGACTGCTTCTTGTCTCTTCTAGCATTTTCCAAAACTCTTTGTTCAGTATACTGCCACAGCATATAAACAGAGAGCAAACCCCATCCCATTCTAGCACTGAAGATGTTACTAGCCGGGTAATGAAATGTTTGCAAGAAAAGAACCAAGCCCAGAGAACCCCAAGGACTCCACAGTAGCAACTTTATTGTTAAGTAACAGTATGACTACTCCCATTTGCATTTCCTCTTGTCACACTGAAATGGCTTTTGGTGACATGCAGAGAGAGAATAGCTCAAAGTCCCTCCCAAAGTTTCAGGGCTTTGTTTCAACTGGTAAGCAAAGCAAAGCATTGCGAAGAATAAGGCAAAGAACCGTGTTATGTTTGTCGCACGGGAACTGATCTTAAATTTCTGCATACTTTGGATCCTTTCCAAAGACGCAGGCACTAGCTAGATAGCCAGTAACACTCGATTACACACGTTCTTGTGTAACACAAAGATCAAGAACTGGAGTTTAAGTGGGCCGCAGGTGGTCTTTTCAGGACCCTGGTGGGTACAACCCACATAGCTCCTGATTGGGCAGATGACTGTGGTACATTGTCCATCATCCCACTCAACTCACTGATTGGACAGTCCTCTTTGGTCCACCTGGGGTCTCCTGCAGGTTTCCACACCCGCCGTTTGGCTCATCCTGGGAAGGCCCTTGCTCTGCCTCTGAGGGGCCCAAGTGCCATCTTGCATCTTCATCAGCCGGCTCACATTCTCTAGCCCATCTGCTGGATGCATCTTTTCAACGCTGTTCCTTTTGGGGGGAGTTGTGTTGTAGAAGCAAGTGAACAACTTTCTCTTGAGTGCCAGTTGCGCCTGTTCGTGGACTGGGAGGTCCTGCCCGCTGTCACTCGTGCCCTGGTCGACTAAGAAGCCAATGCCATACAGGTCTGCCACTGCTTTTACTGGGACAGCTTTAGTGACAGGATCTTGCAGGTCTGAATGAGCTTTATCTCCAGGGGAACTAGGGAGGGGCCTGTCTGAGATGTTTTGTCACATTATCTTCTGGACCGGGGCTCAAACCTGTCTTATGCACTGACGGCTGCCTCGGTGCTGGCCCTTCCATTCCCCCCGCCCGCCACAGTGGGGAAGGAGCTTCTTCAGAGGGCAGGGGCCATGACAGAAAGCGCATGCTCCCTGGGTCCCATCAAATGGCATTGTTTCAGGGAAGGGACCCAAAGCATGGCCATGCCATGGGAGCACGGGGACAGGCAAATACCACGGAGGAGAGGCGGTCCCGCATACAACACGGCCCTGTGCCATACAGGTCTTTAACTGAATGTTAGGCTTGAACTGCACCCGGAAGCCTACAGAAAGCCAGTGCAACTTGTGAAGTAGGAGTGCTACACGGGCACACCGAGGCGCACCCAGAACGACCTGGGCCACTGCATTCTGGATCTATTGGCGCTTCTGGGCAATTCTTACAGGGCTGACATCCACACGCAGTTGGCCACCACCTGTTGTCCTTCAAAAAGGCAGTAAAAACCTGGCCTTTTCCTTGGACGTTGGGGCTGAGATGATTTGAAGGGGGTGTGAATGGGAGCCTCTGACCTATTCACATCTGGCTGGATTTTAATTAGAAGCGTTTATATGCTCTGTTTTGGGTTGGTTGTATGCATCCTGGAGCCACAGTGGTCGAGATGGCCACATCGTTTTTTACAATAAATTATCAACAATAAATAAGGAACAACTGATGCTTTGTCACACCTTACAGAAACCAGGACCAGTGTCATCCCCAGCCGTGTTTCTTCCTTAATGCCAAGCAGCTACCAATTCCTGGCAGTCACCCTGAGTCACCCGGGCTGGGATGCTGTCTCTGTGGGCAGAGGCCATGCCACCCTCCGCACCCAGTGCTGCTTCACATGATGGGCGGAGTCTCTCTTTAGCTGCTGGTCACAGAGGGGCCTTTCCCATCAACTCCTCCCTCCCCTTCTTCCTGCCTGGGCTGGTGCCACCCCTTTGGAAGACGCTCGTCAGGGTGGCATCCACCACCACAAGACTCTGGCATTTCCATCCCCTGAAGGTTGGAGCCGGAGAGCCGCACACCTTTCCCCCCTAGGTCATGCTGCAGAACCTAGAGATAATCCCACTTGAGAAACATAAAGACCATTGTGCTTCGCTGGGAATCCGCCCTGATTGCAAGGAGAGCTACGCCTGCGGATGACGAACCGAACCGTCGCATCTCATAATCTCCTCCTTCAGAGTTGCAAGACCTGAAGACGGGGCTTTCTGTCCTTCCCGGTCTCTGGCTGTCTCTGCCATTTGGCCCAGGGCAGCATCCTGGAGACTTTGACAGCTCTCCGGCCACCCGAGCCCCCTCCCCTGAAAGTCCTGCGCAGCCCTAAGCAACCCCACGAAGCGCCACAGATCTTTTCTGAGGGCAGGGAAGGGGCGGAAGAGCGGCGGATTCTCCCACAGTGTTGCTGTCCCCCCCCCCCGTGCAGGATTCCCATCCGGAGCCTGTCAGGTCATGTTGGGGGGGGGAGGAGGAGGAGGAGGAGGAGAGGAATCTGCAAGTGCCTGGGGGGCCGCCTCCCTGTGCCAATCCCTCACCCGAGAGCGGTGCCCACAGGATGCCAGCAAGTGGAGGAGACGCCCTGATGTCAGCCGCTGGAGGGCACTTCCAGGGAGCGTCCGGGAAGAAGGTGCAGCGGCTGGAGGCATCCGGATAACGAGCCCGTCAGACCTCCCTGCCTTCCTCGCACCAGGAGCTAAGTGCACTGAGGCGGGCGGGGGCCTTGGGAGAGAGGGGGCCCGGCCTGGGTCGCAGCAGCACCTCTTCTGCAAGGAGAGCCTGCACACCCGCGCACACTCACCCGCGCAGGCGCAGATGCGGAACCAGCCCCCCCCAGCAGCCCCTGGCAGCCGCGCTTTCCATGGCTCCCCCTCCCGGACACCCCCTCCTTGATGCCCCATGCGGAGCTCGGGCCCTTCATCCGGAGCCCCACTGCCCTCAGCACAGCCACCTCCTCACCCCCCGCCCCGTGAGGGGGCTGCTAAAAATAGACCATTCTCTGATAGTGCAAAACCAGCCACCCCAAAGGATGTCTCCGTGGGGGGGGGGTGCCGGTGCAGCCGTCCTCCCCAGCTGGTTGGGGTTAACGATGTTGTGTAGCATTAAAGGAAGAAGAAGGAGAAATGAAAAATTCTGCCATAAACCCCCCAGGGGAAAAAACCTGCCCAGTTGCTCCCGGTCCTTGGTCCCTTTTTTGTGAAAAAGGTGAATCTGAGTGCTCCCAGAGAACACACCCTGTTGCAAATCAGCTGCAGGTTCATCTTTTCTGTATCGTATAATCATTATTTTAGTGCGCCCCCCGCCCCCCCGCACAAAATCCACACTTCCTGATGTCTTGGTCAGTTCCGATTACTGGGAACGGAGCCGAAAAACAGAGGCCTCCTCGACGTGGACGAATCGGCAGGCATCCTGACTCCCCCCTCGCGGGCCCGGTAGCCGCTCGTAAGCGACAGATCGCGTTGCCCGGCTCTCACGCCAGCCCGCTCAGACCGACTTGGCTCGCTCCTGGGCTAAAGTGTTGGCGCTGCTCTTTCGCGCTGCGTGCAGCTTTCTGACGGGCTTCACTGACAGTGTGGCGGAGGACCTGGCCAGAGGTGGGCCTGCCCAGCTCCCGTTGGCTGCTGTGGGCACGGCCCCTCTCCTCTGGCCCCGCGGGAGACCCAACATTCAGCTCCTGCAGAGGCACCTTGCTGGCACAGCACTTTCCGTGGCTCTTGCGGTCGTGGGCGGTGAGAATAAACCCTGAGGGACGGGAGCAGGAGGGTCTTGGAAGGGACCCTGGCTATTCTCTGGAAAGCAGAGGCAGGGGAGGGGAAGCCCTTTCAGACTGGCCAGGTTCGGTTCCTGTAACCTGACAAAAAAGGTAATGTTAGCACTCACGGTTCGGGTTTCCTGTCCGGGCCACCTCGAAGGGCTGACACTTATCAAGACTTATGGGGACTCGAGATATCTACATCTTTAGCGCTAGACCTGGGTTGGGAGGCAGGGACTGGCAACAAGCCTGCTGTGCCCTTGGGCAGGCTGCCATCCGTCCGGTTCTGTTCTGGTGGCTGGCAGCCCCCGGGCGTAGCCAGGGACGGTCACAGAGCCCGAATTGTAAGAAGGGGGACAAGCTGGTCCTGACTCAAGAGAGCAGCTGCCCTTCAGGGCACAGAGAGGTGGGTCCTGCCAACCGTGCACTGCTCGTTCGGGCATGAGTGGGTGCGTTACAGGGTTTCCGCTGCTTCTGCTGACCAGGAAAGTCACACGGGTGGACTTTTTATGGCTTTTATCACTTTGAGAGGCGTCTCCGTTCCAGCCCTGAGGCAAAGGGAGAACTGGACTCCTGGACAGCCCGGTCCTTCCCTGCAGCACTACTCAGAGACCAACTGGCTCATTAACAGCCAGTCACCCCAAGTCCCCCGTGCCCCCTCCACCCCGTGGCCTCTCAGCCAGTCTGTTTTCGGACGCAGGCTCAGCGCTGTTTCAGAAAGCCATTAGACCCGTGTTCAGAAATAGCCTGACTGACAAGTCTCGGGCGCGCCACACCTGAGGAACTTAAGCGCATCTTCCAAGCACCTGCCTACATTTGCCCACCATGCATTAGGAAGAGCCACAGGTGGTTGTTTCCCACTGGCAGGTAGCACTTGGTGGAAGGGAAGGCAAGGCTGGCAAGAATCTGCCCCTTGCTTTCCTTAGTTCGTCCCGTATCAAAAGCGCAGGGACAGTGCTGGTCGTGGTGGGGCGAAGTGCCTGGCTGGAGGACGATGGCTGGGTCTGTGCCAAGGGCATGGATTTTTTTCAGTAAGGCAGAACCGGGCAGCACGTTTTACGCCAGTATAGTTTCCAGTTGGCATACAGACTGAAGCCTAGCATTCTTTGTGCCCGCCTGGCTGTGCCCTCTGTCGTGCTGCCCATCCTCTTTGCCAGTTCCCCCTTCGAGCCAGAGCCAGTTCAAACCTCCGGTGCCCAGGCTTACAATCCTCTGGGCACAAACTTCCCATTATTCAGTGGCCTACGTGCTTTTGGCTCCTGACCTTGGGCGTGCGTAACACTTGTTTTGCAGACCCTGCCTGGGTCCTGATTGGTTTCGGGGTACAATTTAAGGTGCAGGTTTTAATCTATGAAACCCTTCATGGTTTGGTGCCCGGATTCCTGCAGGACCACCTACTCTGACCAGTACCAGCCCAGCTGATTAGATGGACCAGGCAGAAACAGCTGCAAATCCCACTTTGGGGAGCCTCGGGGGGCTGAAGCGAGACGGTGCTGCTTTTCTGTTGCAGCGCCAACGCTATGAAGCCATCGCCATGAAGACCGGCCTGGGTCCCCCTTGCTGACATTCTGAAAATGTTTCTTCTGGACGGCCTCCCCCAGTGTGATGCGGCCCTCCTTAGCTTTTATTCTCAATTTATTGTTCTTTGCTCGGTGTGGTTTATTGTTATTCATGATCTGTGGGGGTATTTTTAGAAGTTACCTTGGAAGTTTTGTCTTTTTGAAGTCTGTGTAAGCTGCCTGATTGTGAGGTGCAAGAGATGTGTTTGATGAATGAATGAATGAATGATCCATCCACCCCCCTTTTTTTAATCTGGTTAGTGGGTTTGTGTAGGGCCTGGTCTTTCTACCCTGCCCTTATTTAGCTGGCCGTTCCAGGTTAACACCTGTTTTGAACAGTTCCAGAAGTATCTATACTCAGTGCTCTTCCCGGGCACTGTTTTAAATGCCGTGTTGGTTGTTGGTTGCTAATACTTGTTTACTGGGTTCTGAGCTGGCTTTATTAACTTGATTGGTAATTATTGCGGGTTTTTGTGCTTTGTTTCCTACCACGTGCAAAGGCCTGTGATAAATACACAAATAAACCATTTTAAAGTGTATACTCAACTTCTGTTCTTTGCAGAACCACGAGCCGGGCGCTGGCATTTTCAGCGTGTCCAGGGGACACGGGCTGACTGCTGCGAAGCCCCACACTAGCCGAGCTATTCACCTGCAGATATTGCAGGTGGGCACCCTGCATAGACCAGGCTGTGCAACATGGAACGTGGCTCTGCAGCTCAGCCAGGACCTGTGGTGGGGCTGCTCAGCGCCAGAACTGAGTTCCCATTCCCCAAAGGGTCCCCTTCAGCCCACAGGATCCTGGGAGGGAGGTATTTTCTCTCCCGACAAGGAAAAGTGCCCCCACCCCTACCCGCTGCTTCTCCACGTGGCTCTGTGGTGTCCCGGGCCTTTTCCAGCTGCTCAGCTCAGGGCTGGGAGGGACGGCAGCCGCCCTCAAGAGGGCTGCCGGCTGGTACAGCCGAGGGGATCCTGGGCGAAAGAGCCCAGCCCCCAATGCCCCAGCCTTCGTCCAGGGCCCCAGGGAGCAGGTGGCCCCAAAGACCTCATCCAGAGGCTGCAATTTTCAGACTGCGCGCAGGGGGAATGATCAGATATACAGACAGTAAGCATGTCAACTGCATTTAATTAAAGCTGCGGACTCCTCCTCTGCTTTCCTCGGAACAGAAAAGTCTGGGTGGGATTGGCTGGGCGCTGTTAAAGAAAGATGAACTTCCGCAAAACGTTCCTGAGCTGCTGCTTTAAGCAGAGCTCTGCATCGACATCGTCATCGTCATCATCATCATCATCATCAGGACGTTGCTGGTCAGCACCCTGGCACACGCACGCCCCACGGGACTCCACATTTGACAAAAACCAGCTTAAGTCAAACAGTGGCCGTGACCTCCTGATTTCAGGACCTGCACCTGCAGCGCCCAGGTGACCACTAGAGGTCCCCAGACCACAGGTACGTGGTGGAACGAAAGGGCGGCCATCCCTAACTCCAGCCCGGCTGTTTCTATAACCTGGGCTGGGGGCACCTGAGAAACTCCCATAGGGAAAAAGGGGCCCGTCTTGGGCCTCAAGAAAAGCAGAAGAGACGTTTGCTGGGCGAACGGTGAGGAGGAAACAAGGCTTGGCCCTTGAGGCCCAGGACGGGCCCCTTTTTTGAGGAAGGGAGGGAGGGAGCTCGGCAAGATCCCTGATGGAACAGGCTGGAGGAGGAGCTGCCTCAGCCATCAGCTCGCCCTGGCTGTGTCTACACAACACGCTCAAGCTGCTGGCCGATTACCCATTTCTAGGCTCGCAAGTAGGTTGAGCAATAAAGCAACTGAAGGGAGTCACAGCAAGACGAACAAGGTGAGCACCGGCCGAGCTTGGCCTGGGGTGGAAGCGCAGCTGCCGGGGCTCTGCGGTGTGCTGGGCGAGACGGGTGTTTGGATCTCGGCTGCTCTTGCACAGGGCAGCCCCCAGACGGATGTGTCACATAGCACACCAAGCCCGAAGCCTGGATTCCAAAGGGCAACCGTTGCGTTCGCGTGACACGGTCTTCCGAAGCAACCAGACCTTGCTGGCCCGTCCCTCCAATGGTTGGGCGGCTCCCACGAAGCTGAACTCCTGGCTCCCTTCACTACGTGACTCTTCCACATGTTGGGGGAGTCCAGCTGTTATCTGCACAACAGCCTTTGGGGCCAGCTGGCCGGGCACAATGGCATCAGCAACCCGAGGCATCGGGAGAGCAGCCGGGGGAGGAAGGCTGTCCCCAGGCTGGGGGGGCGATCTGGAGCAGCTGTGACCCCTTCCAGCACCCGGAGAAACAAACGGAGCCCCTTCGGCCCAGGGCTGCCCAGCAGAACATTCCGGGGCAAGCCCACCCCACCCCCGGGATTTGGGCGTCCTTGGACTTTGCCCGCTGTGGCTCAATGGGGCAGTGACTCAGAGCTAGGGGCCCCATTCCTCTTTCTGAGCACCTGTCCTTTGGGACCATCCACACAATCGGGGGGCTCGCTGCTCCCAGCCCTTTCCCAGGCTCCCCCAGCGCTTCCCTCCCCTCCCTTCCTGCCTCCCGACTACTGACGCCCACGGGGGAGGGCAACCGACCGGGAGGCATCTCCCTGCTGCTCCCAAGATCCAGAGGGCCGGCGCGAAAGGGCGTCTGGGGCCGTGTCCCCCGAGGTTGGGCCTGACTGTGCTGCCAGCGAGACCCGGCCGGCGGGGGCAAGGAGGCCTCAGCTGTCCTGGGACGGCTGCTCGTGGCTCACAAACGCCGGGTTGCTGTAGGTTGCCCCCGGCCCTTCAACGTGGACCGCGGCGGAGCCCAAGAGGTCCGTCCTGTCCCGGGGTGGCCACGCCAAGTCCTTCTCCAGGGCCCGCTGGAGCTGCTTGTGGCGGCTGCTGGACTGGTACCCCACGCGTCTCTTGATCAGCTTCCAGAGCGCCCGGTTCTCAATCAGCACTTCCTGCAGGAAGAGGAGGAAAGGGCTGTCAGGCAGGGCCA